GCCAACGGCCATACCACGTTGAATACACCAGTTCTCGTCCGATCACTGAAGTTAAGCAACGTCGGGCGTAGTTAGTACTTGGATGGGTGACCGCTTGGGAACACTACGTGCCGTTGGCTTATTTTGCTTTTTTTTCGTTATTTATTGACTAAATAATAATATTTTGAGCAGAGCATGGATGCTGAAGGAAGGATAATAATATTGATGTRTAGTTTTTTATGCCTTTTAACACCTTTTTGAACAATAAGAATATTTTGATTTTCTTGTATAACTCTAAAAAACAAAAGTGAATATACAATAATTCTTCAACAAATTTATTTATTATTTTCTATACCTCCTTGATAATATTTTCAAAATATTTTAATTCGTTTAAAGTTATTTATAGATTCTATAGGTAAATTTGTCAATAAAATATTAGGTACCTATTCCTTGGGTCAAAAAACTTAAACGTTTATATGATTCCTTATATATAAGTTATAACAGTTATATTTATATAAGTTATAATAGGAATTACTATAGAATTTACTATAGAATAAAGATAAGCTACTAGTATAACTGAGTGTAACTTGACATTTAGGCACRATTTAATTTAAAAGTGTTTAAAATTAAAATTTTCAAATTATTTTGTGGTTAACAAAATTATAAAATGTTTAATTCAAGGATTTTCATATTTCATAAATTAAGTTCATACTGTAACAAAAAAATACATAAGCACAGTTACGATTATTTTGTRCGGACATATTAAAATCAAGAAAAACGATTTTAGTTATTTCGTTGTAATTTAAAAATATTWTTTGTGGGTGTACTTGAGACTTTTTAACTCTTAGAAATTAGAATACACATATTATATTCAATTGTATACATACATGCAGTATATACCTACATGACATTTTCAAATACTTGAATCACAATAATATCATAAAATATACCTACACTWGGTAATAACTAATATTAGAATATTACACAGAATTGTATTCCGGATATAATAATTTTAAATCGTTGAATTAAAATTTAACACATCCAGTGAATTAGTTTTAATAATTTTAAACATTCATATACTTTTAGTTTGGAAGGTGGTACYCCCTACCCATACCAATAAATATGCCACTGGTTTTAAACGTAATCTTAAACAACATTGTCTAAAATTTAACATAAGAAGAACAACTATAACTACATTCACTTATAGAGTTTATGTACTTATCTTTAAAAATTGACATAAGACTATAAACATTAAAGACTAAACACTATAAGTCAGGCTATATAGCCTATATATAAGCATTAAGCAATAGACTAAACTATTTAACATTATCATATGCGCAATTTCTGCAATAAAAAAAAAAATAAGGGTACTAAGCAATGCATTTACTCATTTTAGTTTTTTTTTTTTTTTTTGTAAGGAGAAGTTTTTAATACATAAACCTAAACATTATTTGAGGATGCTAATTTTAAATTGGGCGCGCTAATACCCCCTATTTGCGCCTATGGACATTATATTATTATAATTATAATTTATAAGTGTATATAAATGTAAATGTAAATGTTTATTTAGTACCTATATAGATTGAGTAGGTACTTAATGTGTACCTATATATTAATATATATATATTATATTATATATATGTAAATCATCTACTAAAAATTAAAATAGGTACAATTTATTTTATCAAATATATTACAAAAAAGATAACCATAAATCTACTATCTACTTAACGTAAAGTTGTCAAAATAATGTATTTMTATTGTAAAAACATAAAATGTGAAATATTCAATGAGAAAAGCATATTATATCATTTTTAGATATATTTATTATTTATAATACCTAGGTATATTCTATTCGATTGTATTTTGGCAGATAGCCACCAAGCAGATTATCATAATGACTGAATTAATTTGGCAACTGGCACAACAAAATATCAGTTTATTCTCAAAGGCATATTTTTTAAACATTGTATTATTTAATTTAAAAGAAACATTATGAATTTTATATTATGAAAATATTGCATAAACTATAACTTATAAGACAAAATTTATTATGACTTATGATGATGTAGTAAATTGGTAATGTA